GCAAGGTGGCTAGAAAAGTTGGCCGAGCCACCTGTGCAAATGACAAAACTGGCATTGGCCCAAGACCCCTGGATACCCGGCCCGAGGCCCCTGGCTGCCTACCAATCCTTCCATCGCCAGGAGCTGGATGACGAGGAGGCCCAATCTGACGATTGCCACCATGGGCGATCATCCCACGGAGTTCGGGAACGGGCCGCCTCGTCCTTCTGTCGTTTGTCGGAGACCAGGCCCAGGGCTTCCGACTGGCGCTAGGGGGAGGATGCAGGATGCCTAGACAGTGCAGGGAGGGATGTAGAACGATGTGGCTGCGCCTAGAAGCGACTGTTGTAACTGTCCACTGAGCATGCTCAGAGCTCAATGGCGAGCCAGGCTGCATGTAGCTGAATCCAAGGCCGAGTCATGGTGCAGCTAGCTGCGGCGGAGTGGCAATCGGCAGAAATTACAGAAGCGCGATACTTTCAAAGCTGACTGCAGGGGCACTTGGCGCTGGACGCGTTGCAGGGCTTGACAAAGAAGGCCGTGGACCTCAGCTGCCAGCGTCGCACAAACTGCAGGGGAAGGGCTCAGAGACTGCGCAAAGTGTTGGGAGTAATGTGCTAGTAGGCAAACGCGGTTTTAGCTTTGACTGGTGCAAGTCTCTGGCTGCTTGGCAGCACCGGGATTGTGCTCCGAGAGCCCTGCTGCGCTACCTGCTAAGTGTCGGGCAGAGCCCCCTCGGCCCGGACCTTAGCGTCGCCCCGGCCGCTTGCTGGAATCAGCTGTCATCCTTGATATCCTCAGCTTCTTCGAGGCTGATTTGGCAGTCCTTATGCAGGGAGTAGCCCAGGTCACGAAGTAAGGTGCGAGTCCTTGCTGGCAGTCTGTCAGCCTCACGTACCCAAAATCATATGGCATCCTGACCAAGGCAGAATCGAATGCCGCCTGTGTGCGTCAAATGCTAGAAAAGAGTGATGGGATGCACATGTCCTCGGATGCTATATTCTGTATACATCGCCTTCTTCAGAGGTGGCCCCCAGCAAAGTCGGAGAGGGGGATCAGCACGTTGCGCACAGACTTGTGATTCTGGTGGTCGGAGTGCAGGCCCATGGCACGGTTGCGGGCGAGGAACAGCGTGGTGTGGTTCTGGGTGCCACAAAGAGTGTGGATCACGGCGTTGAGCAGACGGTTGACCATGGGGTAGCGCCTGGTCTGCGCGCGAGGTCCCACCAGAGGGCCTTGCGAGTAGGCTCCAAAGAAAATGCTTTTGTGATCCTCCGGCTGGCTGATGCTGGGTGAGGTGCGCCGCAAATCTTGCGTTGACGGCAAGCTGTCCAAAAGCTGTCCGAAGACCGAGAACGGCGCCCATTTGCAGTGTAGACACTGCGTGGCCAATGTTTCCGTGGGTGAAGGGGTTGTCCTCCAAGTCCATGAACGGAGGGAGCAGTGGAGGGAGCAAGAGCTTGATGCCGGCTTCCTGGTGGTTGACATAAAGCTGCAGGGTCGTGAGAATGGATTCTTGCCGTTGGTGATCCAGAGAAGACTGCGACGCCAGGACCTGCGATGAACTGGGTCCAGGATCGTCAGGACGCGGACGTTTTGCAGACCGAGTCTCCGATGGTGCATCCTTAGGCCGAGCCTCCTGAAGTTGTGGCATGGCGGCCTCCAGGTCAATCTCCTTCGGTGCGCCAGAGCTGGCACGAAGGCGCCACATGCTGCGACAGGTGCGGCGCGGTAGAATCCCTGCTCAAGGCGGCAGAAAGGGCACAAAATGCTGAATATGGCATGCTGCTCTGCAGGCTAAGCACGCTTGAACGGCAAGCTAGGGGCAGCAGCAGAACTTTTTTCATGGCTAGCAAAACTGCTGTGAGGCTGCTCTCGTTAACAGCTGGCCTGCAATAAAGAATTGGCCAGCGAAAGGGAAACTGCCAAGGAAGACCTTTGTGAGACTGCTGCTAGTGTGGTGGGACTGCATCCGTCACGGGCTCATCCGTCGGAGCCTGGCCTGATGCGGAGGCCGCATTATGGGCGGCTTCGGTCAACTCCTCGGCCACCTGTCGCAACACGGTGGGTGTGTCGTGGCACCGGTGGTCCTGTGTCCTCCGCAGATGCTATTGCAGCACTGAGACAGGCCGCAGCTGTGCGAATGGCCGACTGAGTTTGAGTTTGGGCTGACACTGCTCCCGGCGCAGGCTGCACAGGGGCCTGCGCGTACGCAGGAGCTGTATCCGGAGGCGGACATTCGGATGGACCGTCCCCCCAAAGGCCTGAAAGACGCGCGGCAACTGTAGATGCAAGTACCGCAAGGCCGACGTGGGCCGAGCCCCCGTCTACCGACGACGGTGAAGCAGTCCGAGACTTCTGGGGTTCAGAGCCAGGTAGCCATCCTGGTTGGAGTAGGCCTGCCAAGGGAAGATCTCCTGATAGATGGAGCGGATGAAGCGACTGCGCAGCTCACATTTTAAGAAGAATCTTGCCGAAATAGCTGACTTTTCCCAGCTCCCTGTGCCTTGGTGACCTGCGGTGACCAGGCCCTCCTCCACCAAATTTCCATTGGAGTTGCCGAACTTGGTAGCCGGGGAAGTAAACTAAGTAAACGTAGCAGCGTCATACTTGCATTCTCCATTGGCCGTCCAAAGCAGGGCATGGAGAATAATGATGGGGGAACTCGCCGAATCTTGCCATGAGCCTGGCAGAAAAGGCGTTGTCGGGCTGACTGCGAGGTCTCTCGTTCGATCCACGTGGACAATTCTCTGCCCAGGTGGCTCGGCAAAGCTGAGTCACGCTCATTTTGCTTTCGCTTGGCCGATGGCTCCGGGCCAATGTAAGCTGCTTCAGGATGGTGCGGGCCAGCCTGTAATAATCACCATACGCAGTGCGAACTGGATGTGGACAGGCCTCCAGCGTCGGAGGGCGATGAGTGTCACCACCATAGCCCGAGGCTCCGTACGTATCAAGGTGAAGAGGGTAGACCGAGTCTCCTGTGCAGCCTGCGTAGTCAATGAGGCAAGCTGGGTCGGACCTGATCATCACATTGTCCGCATGGATGTCCGCGTGCACGATGCGGGCTCGGTGGAGCATCTCCAGCGCCGCCGTGATGTGGAAGTTGAGTTTTATGATCTCGGAGGCGCGAAGAGCTGCGCGGGGAACCGGCCAGAGCCGAGGCATGAGGGCCCGCGGCCCGCGGTCCATTGGTCGCATACACTGTGGAAATGACCGACAGTGCCGGCACTCTCCGAAGCCTGGACAGCTCTCGCTGCCACTCGATTTCGTCTTGCTGACGAACGGTGCGAATGACGTAGTAGGGATCGGCTTGGCAGGCGTGCACCTCTGATGAGTGGCCTCTGCCAACGGCCCTGCCAGCTGTGGTGCCGGCCAACAACGTCCTGAGGACCTTAGCCGGGGGAGAGCTTAGGGCAGTTGGGGCTGGCACGGCTGAGTTATCAGCCAGTTGTTGAGTCATCGTGTCCATGAAGGAGGTGTTTTGGGTTCTGCTGACTGTGCTGAAGTGAGATGACTAGATGCAAAGACAAAAAGCGCAGCCACGGCCAGAGGCCCCTAAAATGGCACCGCAAGGTCACAGAAGGTCACAGAGTGCACCCTGCTCAGTCCTTGGTAACCTTCTTCTTCCATACCAGGCCATCATTGCGGAATTTGGACCGAGTCGATCTTAGAAGTCGGCGGAGATGGCGGCTTGGCTAGAGTGCAGAGTCACGTCTCTGGCAGCATCCTCGACCTTCCGGGAGCGCTTGCGCAGCTTAGCAATGCGAAGTTTCATGCGCTGAATAATAATGTCAACGGGATCCTTCAGCTGGTGAGCAAGAAGGTCAGCCGTAGTAACGTGAGCCTAAGTGCCCAGCATTCCAGGAGAGGACACGTATGTCCCTGTTGGCGAGGCCTGCTCGTGGCCTGGGAGGCCTGCTGGGTCTCGGACCTGGGCGACGTGGAGGGCAGTTGCCCGACCTTCGCACCTGAAGCGGTGTCAACTGCTGGCCTCGGTATGCCACGGGTTGCTGCGCTTCTGTGGCGCGGCGGCAAGTTTTTTTGTAGGATCGCTTTCGCAAAGAAGAATAATTATGAGAGTGCACAGGCAGGAGTGCCGTCCGCGATTTCGCTTCTGAAGGCATCAGAAGCTCCTTCCACCCTGCGGAAGGTGGAAACCCTACCGCCTCCCACGAGCTGCTTTGTCTTGGACAATTATGGTCGTGGGCCGGGAATTGGGACCCGGCAGTTCAGACAGCAAAACTTAGCGGGAGCACATGGCGCAAGAAAGGACCACTCCGTACCGTTGAGGAGAGAGGCCTGTTCGGGCCTCTAGAAAGAAGGAGTTGGGGGCCCAAAGCCTGTTAGTAAGCTCCACTGAGTTGCGCGGCCGTCTGAACCGTCTCGGCAACAACAACAACAGCCACAACGACCACAACATGAGCACAGCATGTAGCAGCAACGTTGCATCTACACATTCTGACTGGTAGGCTGCCCACAAGTATCACCGCCAGCACGGAGAACGTGGATGTAAAAGACAATAAGCGCTGGTCCTTGGCGGGCTTCCCAACGTGACGTCTGGCCCGAGCACAACCTAGATTAAGATGTTTTCCGTCACCGGCCGACCAGACATTCTCCGCATTCGACTGTGAGACGATCGAAAACACCGTCCGCTGCCTGTGGCACTCCGGTTCCCGGAAGGGCACGGATTTCAACCTGAAACTACTAGACTCTGTCGGCCACCACGCCGCTTGAAGGGGGAATCGCCTGTGATCCAACAAGCCTTGCCACCAGAACAAGGAATGCAACCTGCACGTATCTTAGGCTCTAAAGCAAACTGACAACCTTGTGAGAACGCATGCTCGGCGGCGATGTTGAAAACGAGTCTTCTGCGAGAGAAGCGAGAAAATCATGATCTGATACGTCGGTGCTTACATCGACGTCAAGCAGCACTGCCCAGGTTGCTATTATTGCTGGGCCTGCCGTGAAAACGGCCCAGACTGCAAAAACACATAAGAAATAAATTCGATAAGACTCACTGGCTATGCTGTCTGTACACGTCCCAGCTCAAGCCTTTGCTCACGTAGCCTGTGCAAGGGAAGCAATGCAGTCGGAGCACAGTCAAGAAGCCAGAGTTCTCATGTCTACAGGCAGAGGCCTTCTCGCCGAGAATTCCGACAATGAGACAGAGCGGCGTTGGGACTTCCGCGAAGCCTCGTATTGTTGCAGGTGCAAGCTCCGAAAACTCCCACATCTCTCCAAAGATAGATCTTTCTTCCTGTCACACACATACCACGGACTTACAGTTGAGTGCGCAAGAAAGACTTCCACAATACAATCATCGCTTGAAGCCCAAGATCTGCAGCTAATCATCCAAGCAGAGTTCTTCACCATCTTGCACAACTCCCTTACCATGTTCATGTCGCACTGAGGAGTGGGAGAGAGAGAGAGAGAGAGAGAGAGAGAGACACACACACACACAGAGAGAGACACACACACACACACACTCCCGAGATTAGATGTAGCATCCTGGGTCCGCCGTGAGAAGCGGATCTAGCAAGGATGCTCGGCGGGCTGTTGTTGTCCTTGCCGCTTGCACCGAAATGCACGCGGCTGGGTCTCTATTGCTGTCGTCGGTGTCAGCACCATGGGGCTGCAGTTCTGGACCCTACAGAATGGCATAGCAGGCTTCGAGGGCTTCTTGGCATTGGGAGCAGTCAATGGCCCAGCTACCGCTTTAAGGGGGATAGTATTGACTGTTGGACAAGCAATGCCCACACAAACACCGAGGGAGGGGCACCAAAACGAGCTCACGAGCATCCAAATTCTCACACGACGAGCACACGTTTGCTCGTACACACGCACACACCCACACACACACACACACACCGCGGCACACGCGTACACCGTGTACATACATACACATTCAGCCAAGGCTTCCAACGTGTCAAGACTAAGCTTAGCTAGTTGTAGAGGTCCGAAGAGAAGCTGTTTCGCTCAGGGCCCAGGACAGCCCAAGAAGTTGCATAGATTGGAGCATCGCCCTAGGGGGTAACGAAATAATGCATCGACAAACACGTTGCAAACGGTGAATTAAAAAAGGAGTTTGCAAGACTCCTCGTCGTGACATGGGCGATCCTCGTGCTGCTAGCATCGGCCAATGCTCTAACCATCCTTTCTCATGTTATGGGCTTCGGCGCAGTGGTTCCAGCTTGCCGGTGTGATGCTTTATACACATTCTTGAAAGCCTGCTTTAGGACTCTGGGGACTTTGTGAATTCCCCGCAGTGCCAGCGCCAGCCAAGTGGCAATTTGCGACGAGACGTACCCGTGATAGCTGACCCGCCTGGGGGCACGTTAGATGCACGGACCGACGTCTTGACTCTCAACTGAATCGTAGCAATTAGATTGGCAAGTCACCGTCCAGGACTGCATAATGCACCTGAGAAAAGTTATTCGGCACAGAGGAAAAAGAAAATGCGCGAATCGTGACTATGCAGAATAGGCAGGGCAGGGCCTGTGACTGCAACCTCCAGTAAGCGCAGGGCCGTATGTCTGAGCCAGGTTTCGCGGTTTTGACCTTGTTCTGCCTTCGACATCGTGCCTAAGCAGGACAAGCAACATGCACATGTCGCACATGCTCTTTGGCTTTTACTCGCGACTGACACAGGATGCCAAATCACCTTCCCCCGGTACCGGCAAGACAAGTTGCCGAAGGGTGGCTACAAGGGGCACATCGATAGCAGAACCTGCACCGAATCAGAACAGTAGGCTCCAAGCACAGATCAATGATATCCACGCGCTATATATGTAAAGAATCATGGACACCGCCTTGAAGTGCTCCATGGTTCAAGATTTTCATTGCCTGACAAGGACAACGAGTCAACGCGCACGGCCGACGTGCAGCTAAGAAACAACGCCACCAAACTCTGAGGTCCGTTCCGGTGGACGATTGAAGGGATTGACCACTAGGCAAGACTGAAGAAGATCAGCTGTATTCGGTTCCACACATGTCCAATCTACCTGACTCTCAGGGCAAGCCTTCTCACTTCAACATGCACAAATGTTCACATAGATGGCTCACCGGCAAATAATGCCTTTTGCCTAGGAACGGGTGGAAGGCATCCAGCTGCAAAAGCTTTTTTCGCTTGTTGCAAAGAGTTCCAAGGATGAGAACCCTGCAGCATGAAGCAAAGACCTCAAAGCCAAACACTGTTGCTCACTGCTATCGGTGCTATGCTGCAATGCACATCTTCAAAAAGGCTCCGGCAAAGTCCGCTTGCCCAAATGTCTACACGTTCATTCCTTGGAGCTATTCCGAAAATGGACGGCGCAGCGGATGCAAACCCAACTCACACTCACACACCCAAACATTGCATTTCTCTTGCACTGAGGGCACTCGAACTTCCGTCAAGGCTCCACAGGCCACCCAACAGCAATTCCGGTGCTGCAAAGTCCTGAGAACACTGGTGCTTACCGACGGATGTGGACCTTCTTTCAGCCGTCTGACGACTCCAGGAGTCGCCTCTGCCACACAAGCAACCCGCCTTCGTGCCCCGATCGCTGAGCATTGCCGCGCTGCCCTCACCTTGGCCGATAACCTGGCGCGAGTGCAGAGACCGGGGTCATCAGATGCTCTCGTTGCAAGGAAGGCCTTCGCGCTGTTGAAGTCAGTGAGTTTCAATTCTCTTGCCCCATCCGTCAAGAGGCAATTGTCAGGCTTGATGTCCTCAGTGTCAGAAAACATGACTAACTGGATGCTGTTGCATAGGTGACAAAGGCATGCCGCGGCATCCAAGTGTCTCTATGAACGATTCTTCTCTGGTGCAAGAAGTCGACAGCTCCTGAAGCAAAGGAGAAGAGGCCCCGTGCGACGGAAGCGCAAAGCGGAGAGGATCGGATCCTAGCAGCTGTCGGAAAAGGGCCAGGGCATGTCTCTCTTCGAAGAGCCCGCTCTGCTCGAGGTATCGCTGCAACTGCAGCAGAAAGAACGGCGAGCCCGGTCGTCATTGGACAAACTCTCATCACCGGAAAACCAGCTTCCTACATATCTCTGGGGAGACCACACTACCTTGCTCGCAAAACTCCAGAAGGAGACACATCGAGCTTGCGGAGCAGAAAAGGCCTCAGCTGGCCAAGCAGGGAAGAAGGATAAAGCTGCAGTTCGCAACCCTGACCCTATGGTCTTAAGCCAAGGCGCCGTACGCCTCGACTATGCCACTGTGCTTGAAAGAAGACAGAAGCTCGTACTCCTGAGACAGTGACTCGCCAAGGCTACTACGAGGCCCACCGTCATGAAAGCCTGCGAACAACTGAATGCAGAATGCCGAAAATTCAGAAACGTTCGAATGCCCGTTTCACACACAACGCGACATGCGAAACCGACTGGCCCAAGTAAGTGTCGATGCAGCCGTGGCGAGCGTCCTGAGTGGTGAGTTTCCGAACCTCTTCCTCATCTCCAAGACGGTGCACGAACTTGGCCGCGCGGGAGTGGCTGTCGGACTTCCGAACGACTCTGTAAACGACAGCCGTTCTTCCAGCTCCTCGGGAATCTCAGACTGTGACACCCATCTTTTTTGGAACAAGACCGGTGAGACGAGTAGTGATCCCGCGATCCCTCTCCTAGCTTCTCGGCGAGGACATGGCCATCAGGCACAGGAAACCTCGGCGACGTAGGCGAGGCTGGCGCGGAAACCTCAGGGTTCTGCGACGCTGAGACCATGAAACAACCCGCTGCTTGCGCGACTCCAATATTAATATAATATCATATAATACAATATAATATAAT